TGCAGCAGCATGGGCGACATGGAGAAGGGGCCGGGCATGGCTTGGGCATACTGCAGGCGCCGCATCATGCGGGGCGAGCCGAGGGCCACGGAGCCCACCAAGGGGCTGGCCATCTGCGGGCAGAAGCTCATGGCCACGGCCTGCTGCAGGGTGGCGATGGCGGAGGTGACCTGGGGCTGCACGGGCGTGTAGAGGGCGGTCGGCTGCTGCAGCCCTGCCTGCTGCACCATCTCCCGGTCGTACTTGACGATCTCCTGGATGATCTCGTTCTCCTGGTTGTTGAAGACGCCCGAGTTGAGGTCGTGCTGCACTTTGTGGAGCAGGATCGTGTTCTTCGTGCCTGTGGCGGGGAGGATGAGGAGGCAGGGTGTAGGGGTGGGAGAAGCCCCAGCGTGGCCCGTTGGTGCCCCCTCAGCCCCCCACCCGGGGGTGACAACTGCTCTCCAGCCCCTTCCTGGCCAGCAGCACCCCGGGCTGCTCGTGTGATGCCAGCTGAGCATGTGGCTTACACCAGCATGTGTACACACGTGAACTGAGCACACACACACACACACGGTAAGCATGCACATACATGCATTCAACACATGTATGCACACACGGAGCACATGCATGCACATGCACTAAGCATATACATGCACACACGTGTATGCGCACACACCCTCCACTCCTACACCCTTGGCTTTCCCTCTGCAGAGCCTGGTCCCATCCCACCTCCTGCTCGGGACGCATTGACCCCAGCACAGCCCAATTCCCCCCGGGCCAGGCGCTGCGTCCCCGCCCTACGGCCGAGCCAGGAGGCAGGGACATAGCTCAGCCCGGGGGCTCCCTGCGGGCGGCAGGCCCCGTACCAATGCGGTCCAGGCGGTCGATGGCAACGGTCTCGAAGGCGCGCCGCATCATGGGATACTCCTCCAGCACCTCGTTGAAGTTGTCCACCGAGAGCGAGTAGAGGCGGCAGTAGGTGTCGGCGCGGACGCTGGCTGTGCGGCGGCCCCGCGTCAGCAGGCAGATCTCTGCGGGGGGAGGCAGAGGCGGCAATGAAACAGCACGGCCCAATGCCCCCCGCCCAGGGCACGGGGATGCTGTGACCCACCCCAGGACAAACCAGCAGTCCGGCTCTAAACACCCCGCCACCACTTGCCCCTGCCCTCCACGAGCCCTGGGCTCCCAAAACAGTGCTAATGGCCATCCCACAACCTTCTGCCAGAGCTGGGGATAAAACCCAGGAGTCCTGATCCCTCCCGCAAGCAGCTCTCCCCACCGGGGCCAGCCCGCTCCCATCGGGGACCCCGTGAACCGCAGCGGGCCGCGAGACAGGCGTCCCCGACGCGCTCACCCCCGAAGTAGGAGCCGTCCGAGAGCTTCATCTCCTTGTTGCCCTTGGTGAGGACGCTGACGACGCCGTGCTGGATGAAGTACATCTTCTTGCCGATGGTGCCCTCGCGGATGATGTAGTCGCCCGGCTGGAAGACCTCGAACTTGAGCTTGGTGAGCATGGCCGTGACGAAGTTGGGGTCGGCGTTGGCAAAGAGGGGCATGGAGGCCACCAGCTTGCGGCAGTTGAAGTTCACGATCTCCTGCGGGGCAGAGGGAAGGACATGGAGAGATGGACACGGGCACCAGGGGAAGAAACCACGAGCCAGGTGGGAGATGGAGGGGCCCGGAGCCTGGCTTTCCCCCACCCCCTATTCTGGGCTCGGACTGGGCAGCCCCCGGCGCGGGGACACGGCCCATGCTGTGGCTCCCCGCCGCGTGCCAGGGAGGATGCCCTACCTCTCGCAGAGGCTCGTTGAGCTCGCCTAAGATGCTGTCTTCGTCGAACATCTTGCCCTGGTAGCGATGCTCATAGTAGTCGTGGATCTTCTGGCGGAAGTCGGCCGGCAGCTTGTGGAAGGACATGTACTGCTCCACCTGCTTGTACTGCGGGGACAGAGACCGGCCGTGATCAGAGGGGCCAGCTTGGCGCACGGAGGGGGCCAGCAACCCCCACGTGCCATAACTCACTGAAGCACCCCTCCCCACTGCCGAGTGCAGCCCCCCAGGGCCACTTGCTCCAAGCCCCGGCTGGGATAATCCAACCTAATTCCACCAGATGACGGTGCTGCCCGTGCGGGGATTGCTCAGGCCCGCCTAATCCTGCTGCCCCGAAAGGTCTGCCAGGAGCAGATGGGGCTGGGGCGGCGCGAAGGGCCCCAAGGGGCAGTGCACGTGCCAGGGGCTGCACAAAGAGCAGCCCCCGCTCCTGGGCTCGTAGCTCTGGGGGGGAGCGCAGGACCAGGAGCCACGAGCCCCGGGAAGAGCTCCAGCATCTGAGCTGTGCAGAACAGGGAAGGGGGGCTCTGCTCCCGGCTCAGGGGAGGGAAGGGGGTGCCAGGCCCCTCCTGTGCCAGCGTCCTCGCTTGCCCCATGCGAGCTCAAAGGGCCGAGCTGCCCGGAGAGGTGCAGGACGGGCTCCCGGGGGCATGTGCTAGTGAACAGCCACGGCCGCCTGGCACAGAAGCCAAGTGCTGGGGTCACGGTAGCATTAGCTGGTGCCCTGATGGCTCCAAGCCTCCCGCCCTGCCATGCGCTGAGGCCGGGGATGCTCAAGCCTGCACGTCCCCAGGCGTTTATCTGCTCAGCGGGGCGGTAATTAAAGCCATGGACAGCGGGGGATACATCTGGATGGACACCAAGAGCCCCTTGCAGCATCCGGGGGGCGTAGAGGAGGAGGCTGTCAGCTGCCAGCCCAGCCCAGCCCAGGGAGGCACAGCAGCTTGCGGCACACGGCCCCGGCTCTCCCAGCCGCGTGCAGCGGGGTGGGCGAATGAGGCTGTCCTGGCACGGGGGATCTCCCTCTACTATAAGCCAAACCCTAAAACAGCCCCCGAGTCCCCTGCCCCCGGCCAGCCCACGTGTCGCCCAGCCCCGCCGGGCTGCAGCTGTCTTCCAAAGCCATGATCCCGCTGGAGCCAGCTGGGGATTGCTCCCCCCTTGGGAACCACTCCATGGGCCAAAAGACACTGAGAGCTTCCCCATCCTGTTGCTGCAGCCCGCAGTGGCCCATCTTGGGTGGCCTCCGTCCATCCCCAGCTAGGCAGGCTGGGAAAGCAGGTCCCCATGGGTCTCTGGGGCTGCTTGGGAAAGCAAGCGGGTGGAAAGGCACCTGCTCCATCCTCCACGAAGGGCTTCGTCCCACCCCTGGGTGGGTGGAGGGGCCTAGTGCGGCTCCCAGCCGGCCGTGGGACCCTGGGGGTGTGGAAGGGGTTGCGGGGAGGCTTGGCTTCTCCCTGCAGTGTCTCAGCCCGGGGACCTGCCTTCTGCTTGGCCAGCCATGGGAAATGGCGGTGGTGGTGGGGTGGTGGAGGGTCCACTTCTGTCCCTGGTCCTGGACCCACTGTCCACGGTGCTGAACATGGCCCCAGCAAAGCCCAGAGCCCAGTGCTGGGGCCCACCTCTACTCAAGCAGGCTGGTGCCCCAATGCACTGCCCGGTGAGCCCAAAGGACCCGCTGCTGCGGCCACTGCAATGCATGCCCTCCGGGCGAGCGGTGGGCAGCACCAGGCACTGGCAGGGAGTGGGAAGGAAATGTGTGTCCAACTGAGGCTGCCTGGGGGGAGGCCGAAAGCACCAGGGAATGGCCCCGAGCCCAAGCAAGCAAGCCCCCAAAGGGAGAAGACGGTGCCCGCAGCCACGTGACCCCTGGGATCAGGCTTGGAGTCGCACTGAGCAGCCCTGGGCAAGATCGAGCCCGGGAGATGACGTCTGCGATACCCCCTCTGCACCCGCGCTGCCCTCCCTGGCGTGGGAGGCTGCCCGCTCCCTACCTTCTCCTGGTACTGGCGCCGCGAGGAGTCCAGCGACTGGATGAGGGCGGTAGCGTGGCCGATGAACATGGCGTAGCAGGTGGCGCCCACGATCATGCTGAGCATGGTGAGCCAGATGTCAGTCATGCTCTCGGGCGCCTGCTTCCCGTAGCCGATGCACAGCATGTGGCTCATGGACTTGAAGAGCGCAAAGGAGTAGAGCTCGCTCCATGAGTTGTTCTGCAAAGACAGCGCCGAGGGTGGCTGTGACCTTGTGTCACCGTGCCCAGGTCACCGGGGGAATGAGGGGAAGGTACGTGGAGGGGGACGGGGACAGGAGCCTGGGAATGAGCAGATAAAGTGCAACCGGCTTGTGGCCACGGGCTACACGGGTGCAACGAGGGAGCTGCCCGGGTCCAGAGCACAGTTCCCTTGGAGCCTGCTGCCAGCACTACTGGCGTGCGCATGTGTCTGGACTAACTTAGATCTGGTTCTTCACTTCTTTAGGGCATGCGTGTGTATGTATGCATGTGCATGCATGCGTGCGTGATCCAAAGGGGCCATACACTTTCTACAAGCCCAGGATGGGCCTCCCAAGGTGCTGGCACCACATGCCGGTGAAGCCCTCCAGGGTCACAGCAAGGGCCTGACCCTTATCTGTCAAACCCCGTCAACAGCATCTGATGAGATACGAGGATCACACACACACACACACACTGCAATCATGCCCATCTACAGACCCACCACCACACACAGGCTGCTGTTGCAGTTTGCACACAAGTGTGCACAGCTGTTACAACATGCACACACAACCACCATCCCATGCATGCAGGTTTGCAGCAACACCACACACACTGACACACACAACCGACACGCATGCACAGGACACGCACCACTCCACACTGCCATGCACAGAACTGATGTCCTCCTGGACACACGCGTGCCCTGCCTGTCACCACAAGGCTTTGCACACCACAAGGCTGACACACAAGAAGGCTCTTGGATGGAGCTGCTCCATCCTCTCGGCTTCTGCTCCCTGACCTGCCTCCTCTCTCCTGCCTCACCTGATCCAGCTTGGGACCCCGCCTGCCTTCTCCTTTCCACCCCTTCCACTTAGCGCCTGAGTGATGCCATCTGCAGCCTTCTTGCATGTGCCAGCCAGCCTGGCACTGCCCACTCCTACAAGGCGAGGGGTTACACAGAAGCTGGGATGGGACAGGGCTCAGAGCCAGGCCCAGTGGACAAGAATCCCCTCTGTGTGCCTCAGTTTCCCCCTCATGGGGGAAGCTTAGTGCTCAATTCAAACAGAAAGGGCAAAAGAGCACAGGCTGGCATGGCCAGGAGATCCCACTGCACCAGCCGAGGGAGGGGCAGACAGATGGATGCTGCCAGGGGCCAGCGGGCATTAGCACATGCTTTTTCTTGCTGATCTATGGCAGGCGCGGTGTGTCCTGCCCCTGGGGGCCCAGGCAGGCAGTGATGGGCATGGGGAGTGAAGCCAGGTTGTGCCCCCACCCATCAGCTCTGCCTCACCTCAGGGTGCTGCTCCAGCCTGGTCTCTCCCTGTGCCCTCGTGCAGTGCTGGGGTCACCAGCGCTATCAAGTGCTGGGCAGAGCAGCTGGCACATAGTTTTGCTCTGATCCCTGCCCGGGGGGGGGGACAAGAGAGAGAGAGTGTGTGTGTGTGTGTGTGTGTGTGTGCGCGCGCGCGCGCGTGTGCATGCAAGCACATGGGGTGGGGATGCTTGCAATGCCTGCACACACACCCACACACACACACCCAACCCTACCCACATGCCAATGGCAGTGAACTTGGGCAGCGATGCCCAGGCAGAGGGGTGGGCTGCACTACACCCCCCCATTTGGTGCACCCAGATCTGGGTACATGGCACGTGCACCCACACGCAGACAGACACGTATGCCCCTTGAGACAGGTGCTCACACGTGTTTATGAAACACATCCACGTGCCAATCGGCACACAAGCTCCTCGGGAACAGGGGCGCTCATACATGATAAGGGCACACGCGCCCACCCACTGGCTGCCCCGCGGCCCTCAGGAGCAGGGGCATTCACGCGCGACCCCAGCAAACACAGGGCATGTTGTGCCAGGCGGCAGGCATGGATCCGGCTATGGGAACACGCGACTTCTGCTTACAAAAGCCCTTTGTGGGGGGGTTGAAAAGCTCTTCCTGGGGCAGGGAGCCCGAGAGGGGCATGCAAAGAGATGGGCTGAGCCGGGAAGAGGGGGAAGGATGGAAGAAGGGAACGAACCAGGAAGAGAAAGAGGAGTGCAAGAGAGGGAAGCAGAGAGAGGCAGATGGAGAGAGCAGAGACCTTGCGTGGGGAAGAGAGGCAGGGGGCTGTTGCTGAGAGGCTGCAGGGCTGCGAGGTGCAATTAAAAGTGTGGCTCGTTATGTATTAATAGCAGCTTTGTTGCTAAATGAGAAGGGGGGGGAGGGGGGAGGCTCCACCTGCTGCTCAGTGACTCCTTGGGGGTGGCTGCAGCCCTCGGAGACCCTTCAAGGCATCCCCAGGCCTGTGGGCAGGAAGGAGGCCCCAAGCTGGCCCTGCCCAGGCCCCCGGCGGTACTCACCACCATGCCGTTGATGGAGACCCAGCAGTTGCTGGGGAAGTCCTGCAGCATGGGCACCAGGAACTGGAGGCAGCCGTCCCAGTGGCACAGCAGCAGCATCATGCCGATGAGGTTGATGATGCGCATCACGGCGCTCGCCAGGTCGTAGGTCATGTGGAAGATCTGGGGAGGGGGGAGCCCATTTCAAACCCCAGCCTCTGGCTCCTCCTGGCTCCCATGGGGCAACCGGGGCTCGGCACCCCCTGCTGCTCCCCCACCCTGCCCCTGACACCGGGCCCCAAGCCCTGGGCCTGGACCCACAGCTCTAGGGTCACCCTTTGGTGACCCCCTTGTCCCTCCCCATGTCCCACAGCCATCCCAGACCCCCATGTACAAAGTCCAGGGGGTGTTGCTCCCCCTGACACACCCATACACACATGCACCCCAGTTTGTGGCACCCCCCGGCCAGCACCGGCAGCAGAGAGCAGACACGCAACACCCCGTGCACCAATGTCCTGGGTCCCGGCTCTCTCTTCTGCACCCATCGGGCCCCTTCTCGTGACCCATGACACTAATGAGCCCAGGCCACGCGGTGCCAGGCAGTGGGCGCAGATCCCAAATCCCAAGCCAGACTCCAGCCCCAGCTGGCTCAGCTCCTCCCTGCCCGCTTGCCCGGAGGGGAGAGGGGCTTTGCCTTCGATACAGAGACAATCGCAGGCCGCAGTCAAGCCAAGCGCGATGAAGGACCCCCCTCGTCCCTCCCTTTTGTGCAGTCAAGGCAGCTGGGCTCAGCTCAGCGCTGGCTCGAGGCTCTGGTGGCACGACGGGTCCCAGCTGGGCCGCGAGGGGGGAGAGAGGTGGCCGGTGGCAGCAAACTGTCCCCTGGAAAACAGTCCCCGGTTCCAGCAGCTGTTTTCCACGTGAAGTGCTTGGAAGGGGGAGAGGTCAGAGCAGCCAGGACCCCCGGGCTCGAGCCCGGTCAGACCCCAGGGGCATCTGCATTCAAGGGGGCTAAGTCAGAGCCCACCGTGTCCTGCCTCACTGGGGGTGAGGGGAGCGTCCGCACTGATTTCTCTTCCGTGCCAAGCAGAGGTTCTCCTCCCGCTCCACAAACCCGCCCAGCAAGCCCACGGCCGCACCAGGGCTGGACGCGTAAGCCTCCTTCATCGCACCCTTCTCAGCCCCTGAGCCCGAGGGGTTCGCCCGGTTCCTGGCACAGGCAGGGGCATCTTAAAGGCTCACTCTGGGAGCGAGCATCGAGATGGGGCTGCTGGGGCTCAGCGGAGCGGCAGACTCGGGGAGCGCGGAGCACCCCCTGCATCGGCTCTTTGCACCCCCAGACACCCGGGACGTTGCCTCCGTGCGTGGTTACGTGCCCAAACGATGCCCGATGCCCACTGGGCTCCCATCCCCGTGGGGACATCCTGCCCCAACGTTGCCTCATTCTTTTAATGGATGGAAATCAACTGCATGCAGCCGCTGGGCAGCGTAGGCGGCCCCGCTCCCACGGGCATCTGCTCCCGGCTGGGAGAGCGCACTCTCGCCCTGGCAGGAGCCTGCGTTGTTTCGAGGCCCAGGGCTTTCCCCGGGGCTGCTTTTCTCCCCCGAGCTGCCAGACGTGGGCCATCGTGCTGCGGCCCCTCCTGGCATCCATAGGGCTGCCCTGTGCTGGGGAGGGGGGTCTCTGGGAGGAGGGCAAGGGGCAGCATCCATGTGGTGTAAGCAGGAGGATCTCAGCTCCAGCCCCCTGGCAGGACTCCAGCTGGCCCAGACTGGGACCTCTCCTGCCCTCAGATGCTCCCAGCTCTGAACGTGGCATCCTGCGGGCTCCGGCTCCATTGCCACCAAGCTCCCCACCTGTGGCCCAGACCGGGCTCCACCATGCAACTAAAGCTCATTTATATCACCACCACTATCATCCCCATTGTACAGATGGGAAAACTGAGACCCCGAGAGGGACAGCAACTGCTCCAGTGTCGCCTGGGAGTCAGCAATAGTTGCAGGAAGGCAGCTAGGAAGGGAACCCGGGAGTCCTGCGCTCCAGCCACTGGGTTATTGCCGAGGAGGTGCAGAGACGAGTGCGTCCAAGGTCACCGAGCAAAGGGGCAGAGCTGGGAAACCAGGCTCTGGACAAGTCCTGGCTGGGGACAGACACGTGCACGTGGATACTCTGAGGACACAGGGGCTGGAGGGAGACGGGGGGGGTTGAACAAGCACGTGCACGTGTGCGACACTCCCTGTTTGCACCCTTGTATTGCAGCCGGCAATGGGGGGCTGCACTTCTCCCTGCACCAGGTACCAGGCCCCGGCCGGTCTCCATCTGCCCTGTGGGGCACGCACAGCCCCTTGCGTGGGGAGAGCTCAGCCCACAACAGAGGCCCTCAAGTGAAGCCGACGTCTGCTGCTATTCACCCCCCATTAAAGCAACGCCAAGGGAAGGCTCCAGCGCCCCAGAGAGGCTTCTTGCACTGCCCAGCTGGGTGCCCCCATCTCACCCTGGGGAGCCAGCGTGTCCCCCCCAGGGGAAGGAAAGCAGCAGCTGCTGCAATCTCTCACCAGGGGCTTTGCCCAGAAGAGCCCTGCACGGACGGTGAGTGGCGGGTGATGTCGAGACTGGATTAGACCCCGGCCATCACCCAACCCAGCCCCAGAGCCCCCTGCGCTCGGCTGGGAGGAGGGAGCAGGGTTAATGGAGGGGCAGTGAGAGGGGTCGCAGCCAGGGTCAAGGAGGGCCGTGCACATGCATGGACATGCGTGACGATGCAAGCACTTGCCCCTGCAGGGGACGATGCCTGGGTCCAGTGGAGCATTGCCCACACAAGGGGACACGCAGCCGGCCCCAGGCCGCGCCCATCACCGCCGCATCCTGGCATGCAGCCGTGCAGGCAGGACCGATGGGGCAACACACATCATGGGAGCGTCTTGGAGGGGGCCTAGTGGGGTGGGGAGGAGCAGGGGAGCTCTCGCCAGTCCTCCAGCACCCCAGAATGCATTCCTGAAAGGCCAGGCGGGTGGGCGCCTGGCTCGTGGGAGGCCTGGCTCAGCCAGCCAGACGGGCGCGGGCTGCCATCGCACAGAGCAGCAGCGCCTGCGGCTGCCTGGGTCTCTCTTCCCCCCTGCGGCCAGGATGCTTTTGGCCCCAGCTTGTCCGGTTTCTTCCTTTTCAAACCCCGCAGCCTTCCAGGGTCCTCGAAATGGCACTTGGGAGGACGTGGGGGGCACAAATGGCACCCAGCTGGGGCAGTGGGGTGGGATGGGGAGCGGGGAGGGCCAGGAGTTAGTGGGAGGGGAGAGCGAGTGCTTCCCCACCCCGCCAGTGCCCGCAGAGCCCAGGCGTCCTGGTTCAATGCCAGCTCTGCCACCAACTCCCCAGGGGACCTGGGACCGTTCAAGTCACCCACTGCAAAGCAGGCACGGTCCCTCTCCGTGCGAGGCTGCAAACAGGGGGCCTGGCTATGATTATGTGCAGCACCTGGTGCGGCGGGATCCCGATTTCCACTCCAAGACCGACTGTGATCCTCTAGGTCTCGAGGCAGGGTGGGGGAGACCCCTCTAACCCATCCACGCCATGCAGTGCCTGCTAAACCCTGACCCACTCCCACCCAGACAGCCCCACAGGGGGGTATGGCCTCCCCCACGTGCCCCGGATCTGGCCTTGTCAGTAGAGCTGATTACAGGGCTAATCCGCCCAGACTGGGATGGGTTTCAGTAATCCCCAGGCTTGGTGCTAAGCCCCTGTTTAAAAGTCAAAAGGCCAAAGAGCAGGGGGCGGCAGGGCTGGTGCCGCAGACGGGGGTGGGCAGGGGGGTCCCAGCCAGACCCAGGTGCCTCCAGACCCCGAAACGAAGAGGAAGTGAGCGCTCTCTGCTCTGCCCAGATCCACGCACTGCCCCCACCTCTCCTTCCAAACCAGCCAGATCCCTTTGCTGGAAGTGCCTAATTCAGCTGCTGGACTGAAAACAGACTTAAGTGGGTGTGCATGTGTGCCACATGTGCGCGCACACACACGTCCCTTCCCCCCATCAAGGAGAGCCCCCCAGCCAGTGGGGCACCTGCCTGCAGACGTGGCCGGACAGACGGACACACACAGCCGCATGCCCCGTCTGCCCCCCTCCTCGTGCCACCGGAGATAGGACCCCTATCTCTGGCAGCCGCGGGCATTTGGTCACCTCCGGAGCAGAGCCGGGCGCGGGACCCAGCTGAGTCTGTGCAGAGCAAAGGCTTTTCCTTGAGGTCTGGGCTGAGGCCCAGCAAACTCATCTCAGCGCTGGGCGACAAGGCAGGAGCTGGGGCCAGGGGAGGGAGCCGAGCCAGCCCTGCTGGGCCCGGGGAGGTGCCTGCATCCTCTGCTCCCTTCGCCCCAGCCCCAAAGCAGAGCAGGACAAGGGGGCAGGGAACCAGACGGAAATGAGGGCCCGGACTCTCGGCTCGTGCTCGCTCTCGCCAAAGCAGGCAGCTTGCAGCTGGGTGACCTTCACCTCCCAGCCCCTGGCTCTGGCCGCCCCACGGTCTTGCCACGCGAGCCTGGGGAGTCCCCAAGGAGGTGGGGGTGCAGGGCCCTACTGCCCCTGGTGACCTCCAGCGCTGCCGTCGCCCGACGCAGCTCCTCAGTGCAGATCCTTGCAGCCGGGCGATCGCTCAGTGCCAGGCTCAGAGCTCATCTCGCTGCAAGGACGGGGAGGGAGGCTACCTCTCCCCGGCACCTGCCCAGGGACAGGAGGGGGGCGCGGGGGGACAGCACGTCCCAGCTGGGTGCTGGGACCGCTCTGGGGACAGAGGGAGCCCCCACCGCATGTACGCAGAGCTGCAAACGGTGCAAAACCGCATCCATCAGAGCTGTCGGGCGGCACGGACCCAGGCGCAAGGGCATTCCCCAGCTGATCGTGCAGCATCCGTGTCCCCCTCCACACCTCCCGCCTCTCCTAGCTGCCTCGGCCCCGGGACCATGCCCCCTGCTCCTACACCCTCCGTGAATTCCAGCCCAGTAGTGATCCCCAGCACCTCCTCTCCTCCAGGAAGGCTGTGGCATCCGGGCAAGATCAGACGGGGCTGATCCTGGGGGGAGGTGGCCTGTCCAGCCCAGGGAAGAAACTCCCCCTCCACGACCCACGTCTTCCAGACAGGGAAAACAAGCTACGGGGAAGGAAGGAAGGAGCCAAGGGCCCAGCCCCATCTTCAGCCCCAGGGGCCAGCTCCTGGCTGCCGAGACCAAGGAGCTGCCTCGTTAGCCCCGCTCTACCTCCAGCAGAATCAGAACCGCTAATTCCCGCACGCTGCCTTCACGTAAGGACACGTGCCTCAGTTTCCCCATCTGCAGGGGATGCCGGCTACCTCCCGAGGAGGCTTCATTCACACCCGAACCTCAGCGACGCAACAGCAGCAAGGCCGCTACGAAGCCACGGCCATCAGGCCTGGCCCGTGGTTTGGGACACCGCAACCCGGCACCCGCATGGCAGACCCCCGTCCATGGGGCAACAGCATCCCGAGAGGCCGCAGCCCTGGAGGCGTGGGGTCCCCAGCCCTTACCTCTTCCCACTGGTGGATGTAGCGGATGAGGCGGGAGAGGCGAAGCAGCCGCAGGAGGCTGAGGATCTTGGTGAAGCGGACGATGCGGAGGGCGCGGGCCGTCTTGTAGACCTCCGAGTCGATGCCCTTCTCCACGATGAGGAAGATGTAATCCACGGGGATGGAGGAGACAAAGTCCACCACGAACCAGGTCTTGAGGTACTTCTTCTTGATGCGCTCGGGGTCCAGGATGATGTCCGTGTTGTCCTCGATGACAATGCCCGTCCGGAAGTTCAGCACCAGGTCCATGAGGAAGAAGGTGTCCGACACCACGTTGAAGACGATCCAGGGCGCCGTGGTCTCCTCCTTGAAGAAGGTGATGCCCACGGGGATGATGATCAGGTTGCCCACCATGAACAGCAGCATTGTGAAATCCCAGTAAAACCTGGCACGGGGGGGGGGAAGCAGAAGGACACGTCACCCCAGGGTTACCCCAGCCCGAGGCATCCCAGCTCTCCTTCCTCCTGCCAACCCCTGGACCACAGCCTGGCCAGCTGGGGCTGTTTGTCCCCCGGATCGGGCCCTGCAGCTGTCAGCTTGGGGTCGGGGCTTTTAAACCTTACCCTGTACGACTTGCCCCCCGAGGCTTGTGCGGGTGGATGAGCCCCGGGCCAAAGGGGTGGCACGAAGCAAAAGGAGACCCAGTGCCAAGTAGACCCACCTGCGCCAAGGCCAGTCCCAATAGACCTGGGAGGCTGGAGCCAGCCCGGCCTGTGGGGCTTGGGCTCACTCTGCAGCTCCCTAGAGGGGCTCGAGATCAGACCAGGGGGACTCCTTACCCCTCGCCCCCATCTTCATGCAGGCCCCTGACCCAGAGCCGCACAAGGGCAGAGCCGAGCCCCGGAGGGGGGGAACAGGGCAAGCACCGAGCCTGTGGCCCCCCACCAGCCACAGAGCCCCCCTCTGCCGGGGGCCGCGTGGATGCTGAGCCAGGCAGGGGCCGTCCTTGCCGGTGCCACCTGCAAGAGGCTGCAGCGGAGCTGATGGCTGATCATCACGTACGACTGCAGCTCACTCCAGCTGCCTCCGGTCCCAGCGGAGGGGAGAGGAGGGGAAGGCGGGGGGTGCATAGGGGGTCCAGCTCCCTCCGCAGCCCCCTTCCACCCCCTCCTCTATGTCCAACTCCCCTCTCCCAGGCCAGCCACGGCCTTTCCCAGGCGTGTTGCAAGGTGACAGCAAAGTGACTGCGGGCCCCACACACACGCGCCAAGAGGTCAGCCCCCCCCGGCCCTGCTGCCACCCAGCTGGGTGCTTTGCTGGCCCCGTGTTGGGGCACCCCAAGATGCCCCCCAACTATGTCACTGCTGCCCACGGGGGCCTGGGCCAGGTCTTTATGCAGCTGCCGAAGGCTGGAAGCAAGGGTGGGGGGGATTCACTGCATCGGGGCAACACGGGGCCCATCGGAGCCGGCAGGGCCGTGCCTCTGCCTGGGGAAGGGGAGCGACAGGGAGTTGGGGGGCAAACGGGCACCTCGGGTGAGACCCGGCTGCAGGAGCAGAGCGGCGGAGGGGACGGCGGGGGTGGGGGATTGGATCTCCCCCTCGACAGCAGGATGCATCCCTCTTTGAAAAGGGAGAGCTGCTTCCAGCCTCCTGACCTTCCTCCAATGACAACCCGCACCTGAGCCGTTCCTATGGCAACGCGAGTGACATCACGGCTGCACAGTGATGACTTCAGAGCACAGGCCGGGAGAGGGGGAAGCAGGACCATCAGCTGCCATCTCCTAGGTGCCCTTCAGTGAAGCACAGGAGGGGGGCAGTTGGGACCTGTGCTCCTGGCTCTGCCACTGACTCTTGGGGTGACCCCGGGCAAGTCCCCTCACCCTGCCCGGTGCCAGTGCCTCTGCTCCAGGAGGCTGCATGGCACAAGCAGGCCCAGACCTGCGAGCCAGGCCCAGGCTACTGGAGAACTGGGCTGCGCCGGGGAGCCTGCAGCAACCCCACGGTTCAAGGGGACAGAGCGGCACGCGCAGGGACGGGGGAAAGGCTCAGCGACGCAACGGCACGGCCTTTGCAAAGAGGCCCTTCTGGGACCTGCCGGCACGGTCCATTCAGGGGAGGGAGGAAAGCAAGCCACGAGCTGCCGCACGGCTCTCCGCGGAGAAGTCCTACCACCTCCTCCTCCTCGCAGGCAGCAGCGAGGCCTGGCTGCTCCACTTTCCAGATGGGCAGGTTTCCCACGGGAGCTCAGAGCCAGATGGCTGCGGGCTCCGAGCCCAGGGGAGCGCTGGCCCCGACCCAGCCCCTGCGCCCGGGGGGCTCCGGCCACGGATCGAGTCAAGGGGAGCTCAGGTAGAAGCGCCTGTTGCCCCGAGGTTAGAGGTCATGGCTAAGGTCGTGCAAGAGTCAGGGGTGGAACCGGCAACACGAGAGTTTCACGGTCCCCTCTGACGCTCTCCCGGGCCCAGCGCGTGCTCCACACGGTACCTGCCGGGGAAGGGGATAGCCAGGCTGAGCAAAGCCCACATTACTAAAGCCCCCCGCTCCCTGGGGCTGCACACTGCAGTCCTCCTGCACCAATGGGATGTGCTCCAGACGGGGAAACTGAGGCACCAGCAAGGAAGTGACAAAGCCAGGAGTCCAGCCCCGAGCGCCCGGGCTGGGCTCAGACCCAGGGGCCAGGCTGTCCCCCTAGACAGCCAGCCCTAGGCCGGGAATTTCTAATGCACCAGGGCAAGACACCCGCCTCCCCACCCCACGGCAGGCACGCACCTCGCCTCCAGCTTCCAGCACGCTGGGCAAAGTCCCCGCTGGCTTCCAGCCCTGTGTGAGCCAAGGGCCAGATCCCCCCCGGACGCTGGCCCGCTGGCCTGATTGCTTATTGCTTTTTGAGTATGAACGATGCACTGTAATTGCTCAGCCCTGGCTGCGGACCCAGGCTTGAAAGCCTCCTGGCCCTGGGGGATCACGAGCATGTGGAAGCGGGGATCCATCCCAGCCATCCTATGGATGCCGGGACGGGCACCGCGAGCCCAGCCTCCCTGCATTATTGCAACGTGGGAGGATGGAAGCAGCAGGCAGGGCACTTTGCACAGCGCCGAGCGCCCAAACCGAGAGCCGCGGTCGGTGCTAGCGGCACCTGGGGACTCGCCGCGGGCGCTTGTGAACTCCGAGTGACGGGGAGGGGAGGCGGCATCCCAGTGCTGCCCCGGCGGGAGGTGACTCTGACCCCTATTAAATCTGCCCTGGGCATGTCAAAGGCCTCTGCAAGCTCCTCTGCCCACCGAGGCTCTCGCCTTCTTGGAAAAGCAAGCAGAAGAAACCCTCCAGTTCATTCTCATTCAGCACCACGAGCAGCTCCTCGAGCTACAGACAGCTGGGAACATTTGGAAACGGCTGCAAAAATGCCAGGGAAAAATTGGGGGGAAAAGGAGCCCCTGCAAGGAGCAGCTCTCGTCCAGGCCAGCCTGGGACAGGCCTCGTCCCTGGGGCCTGGGCGGCAGAGCCGGAGCAGGAGCAAAGGGCCTAAACCAGCCGCCGGGAGCCGTTTCCTCGATCGAGTCATTCTCCCTGCCTGTTAACGAATTTAACCATAATTGCCTGTTGTGCTGCTGGCCTGCTAATAACCCTCAGGCAGCGAGAGGATCTCAAGAGCTGCTGCTCAAGGAGCTTTTCCCGGGCCCCCTTCCCAGCACGCCAAAGCGCCTCCGAAGCAACCGTCTCGCTATTTCACCTCCAGGCCAGCAAGCCTCAAATACAACCACCCCCTTGAAGAAGACTTCAGGCCTCATATTTGACCACGCCAGGGCGCCGGGCCCGAAACGTTTGACCCGAGCCTGCCAACATCACCGTGCTCTTTCCACCTGCCCTTGCAGAGGAGCCTCATGCGGGCACGTGGCTTTGTAGCAAACTCAGCAAACTGCCCAGGCCTGAAGCCACGGCCCCACAAATGACTGTCAAGGCCTCACCAGCAAACTCCCCAGGACCCCAAACCCCCGCCCAGGCCTCGCTTTCCTAATGGATGAGCTCAATCACGCTGCCATCCATCAGACCCAACCGCTCCCCATGAAGTCTGGAGAGAGGAAGAATCGTCCTGTGATGGATAACGCTCATAACCCATTTGTCAGAGAGGGATCTCGGCTCACGGAGAAGGCGCCGGACAAATGGCAGCGGAGCTGCTGACGCCAGACCTACCGCATGCTAATACCTGGAAACGTAGGCTAGGAGGGCCCCTGGGGATACGGGACCCCAGCCTGGCACAGCAGCCGGGCAAGGCTGAACTGCAGCATCCGCAAACCAGGATTAGCAGAAAACCTTCAGCTAATTGGCACCGAAAAACACACACCTGTCGGGGAACCTGCTTAGACTCAGCCCTGGGACTCGAGAGCCGGATTCATTTCCAACCTGCCATTACAAGGAGCCCGAGCCCTCCAGGCAGGTGCCCGGGTCGCCAGCCAGTGCTTCCCGGGCGCCCGGGGCCCTTCAGAAGCACTCTGTGCCTCTGCATCGACTAATCCCGCGGAGATCAGAGAGAGAGAGACACTGGCCGCTGCGATGAACCGAACCATCTGCCGGGAGAGCTCGCATTACTAATACATCCTGCAGCGTCCCTGGGTGGACTTCGGGCCTGTGCTGATATCGAGCTAGAAATCAGAGGGAGGAGGCGGAATAAAGTGCCTGCGTTTGGTGGCCTTGGGACTTCCTCTAGAGCATCTGGTACGACCGCCAGACACGGGGACCGGGCTTGGAGAGACCTGGGCTGGGATCTGGTTTGGATGTTCGTACGTGCTGGAAAGGAGCTGCTTTTCCCGAGAAGGAAAACCACACCAGCGCCTTCCACCTGCCAACAGCAAAGCCCTGGCATAAAAACTATCCCGCGTGCGAAGCCTCCAGCCCCTCGGGCAAGCTGGGGCCTGAAGATATTAAATATCTTGTCAAAGGTCGGTACAGAAATGGGAATAAAACCACCCCAGTCCTCCTCTGTTCTTCCTTCCGTATGTATTTTCGCTATAAATGGGGGGGTCAATGTGGCTGGGCCTCGTTGAATAGGCACCGGGAACGGGACAGGCACGATTGAACGAGACAACTCATAGCTGGGCGGGTCGACCCAACCTCACATATTTCTCCGTGTAATTTAAAAGGCTTTTCTTTTATCAGATTGGCAACTCGTGATCTGAAACAGCCACCCAGGTTGCTTCCTAATCATCCAACAGCGGTGTAAATGGGGGCTTCAGCTCCTGGATCGCATCTCCTCCCCCACCCCACCTCCTTGTATTTTGCATGAATAATTACAGTGCTCTGCCTGGGATGAGAGATGATCTATAAATGGGGCCGATTATGAAGTGATGTCACATATGCAGATGGTAATGATTTTATCTTAAGATGAGAAAATGGGTATGGCAAGGGGGAAATGTCGCCGGTACCGAGGCCACGATCCTTGTCGGATCTGGGGAGGGCGGACGACGGCACGTACGCGTGCCTGCTGGGAGCGTTCCCCGTGCAGAGCCTCAGCCAATTCCCGGGCACCGCGGTTTGATCGCCCCAGAGTGAAACCACCCCGCTGTCGCTCGTCACATGCCAACACACGGAGACGGGGCGCTTGCAGCGGAGCGGGAGGTGCCAGCTGGGAAAGGGACTCTTGTGGGATTAGAAACTCTGCAAAGGCACCTGGCTGGAGAGTCTCTGCCCCAAAGGGCTAGCAGCAAAGGTGGGCAACATTCAGGGAGGTAAATGGAGGTGCAAGGTCGCACGGTGGAGCCAGGAATAGACCTCGGGCCTCCCGGCACTCAAGACGATGCCTCACACCCTGGCCCCGTTGCCTGGCAGAGGAGCTCGTGATGGGAGGGATATTATACATAGCTTCCACTCCCAAATTTGCCAATGACTCACTGTGCCGGCTCGAGCAAGTCTCCTGGGCCTCGATTCAGCAATGAGTTCAGCAAGAGCCGCTCTGTGCAGGCTGGCAGGGCCCCACGGGACGGCAACGGGCTCCGGGGACTTCAACGCGGCAAGGGGAAAAGCAGGGCAAGGGGAACGAGGGCCCGCTAGTTACTGGCTGCTCCGAGCCAGCCTTTAAATGGTCAAAGGACTGGGCCGAGCCGGAGAGCCCTCGGGGAGGCCGGACCTGCTGATCCCCAGACCCGGGGCACTGTCACGGCGAGCTCAGGAGACCCCGGTCATCGCAGGCGATGGAGATGACAGGGCAATGGCAAGAGGGAATGAGAAGATGTCAGGCTGAGTTATGCTCCAGCCCGGGGAAACCAAGGCTACGGTGGGGGGGGCAGCTGCGTCCAGCATAACCAAGGCCAGCCAGCCCCCTCGATGCCTGGGGCACTGCTCCCACGGTCCCACGCCCGGGCGGTAGCGGCACAGGGCTCCCTGCACTTGCTGCTTAGGCCACATTAAACACCTCGGGATGAGCAATGTGCGGTCTTAAGCGGCGAGCCGAGGAGACGGGGCTCAGCGGCTGGAAAGATTAACGACCCTGGCAGTTGTTAGAATAGGATCAATTAAGGGCACGTCTCAGGGAGATTCTCTGCCGCGCTCAGGGCCCCTTCGGCAAGGCAGACCCATGCCGTAAGGCACCCAGGGAGCAGGGCCTTATGCAGGCTTCCCATGGACGGCAGCGGGCACAGAAAAGCAGACCCCTGCCGGGCTGGGGAACATGACAAGGGGGACTGGGGACGGCCAAGTCAGGGATCCCAGATCCCCCGGCACTGAGCAGGGTGACCTCGGGCAACTACCTGCCCCTTCCCTTTGCAAGCTGCCTGGGACCAGGCTCGTCTCTTTGCAGCTGTCTGCACAGCACCTGCTGGGGGAAGGCCCCGGCCGTGGCTGGCATGTCTGAGTGCCAGACCGCGGCAGGGACCATCAGTATTCCAAACAGATTCGCGCCGGTCTGGGCTGGCGAGCCGCTGAAGCCCCCCCCAGCTCATCAGACAGGAAGCAGCATCGTTAGGAGACTGATACTGATCCGGTCCCTCCGGTCCCAGCCACGGGGGCAGCGCCAGGAGGACCCCGCTTCGGAGAGGAGAGGCTCTCTCCCGGCGCCTGCCGGCTCGGGGAGGTGGGGGGGGAGTGCCGGGCCGGCTGCTACCGCCTGGATGCTTCCAGGAAGGCAGAGGCAGCCAAGGCAGGAGGAGAACGTGGTACCCAGAGCTCCCGTGACAGCAGCATCCTCAGAGCCTGCAATGGGAAGCGTGGGCCTCACGGGGACGCAGGCCCAGCCAGCGGGGAGACAAGGCCCCCCCACTTTTAGGATTAGCATTACTGGGTGGGGGGGAGAAGGAAGAAGGAGCTTCGTATTTTTAAGCGCTGCAAAAAGCCTCGCGTCGCTGCGTCTCCCAACCAGCCCTTTCCCCTCAGGGAAGACACCAGCCCATTCCCCGAGCTCTCCCAGGGCTTGGACACAGGGAGGGTCTTCTGCCCCTGTCGTGCAGCTCCCGGAGGTTGCCCTCCACCACTGGGCACCTTTGCCACCCCCCCTGCCCAGCAGGACCAGAGGACCCCACTGCTAAAACGTGTCCAAGTCTGGACACCCAAAGCTGCTGCATCACGGCTGCCCGGGGCTCCCCTCCCCCCTCCAAGACAGGTTCTCCAAGCACCGACGGGCCCCCCCCCAACCCCAGCACCGCTGCACTGGACCTGGGAGCCTGGCTGGGGGGGCTCAGCCTCTGCACAGCCGGCTGGGCCGAGGGTGGGGTTGCTCCTGCCCCTTGCAAGCTACATCCAGACCCTGGGGGCATCCCTACTGCCCCTGTCCTGGGGGGGGGATCCTCCTGCCAGGGGGCCAAGCTCTAGTTCAGTCTCTCCAGGATCTGGGCTATGGGACCGCTGCACTGGACCTGGGAGCCTGGCTGGGGGGGCTCAGCCTCTGCACAGCCGGCTGGGCCGAGGGTGGGGTTGCTCCTGCCCCTTGCAAGCTACATCCAGACCCTGGGGGCATCCCTACTGCCCCTGTCCTGGGGGGGGGATCCTCCTGCCAGGGGGCCAAGCTCTAGTTCAGTCTCTCCAGGATCTGGGCTATGGGGAAGGGACGTCCTTGGCAGAGCAAAGGG